GGGCTCTCGGCTTGCCCAGCTCTGATCAAATAGTCTCTACCCAAAAATGCACTCCTTATTAAACATATTTTATCATCAATTGAGCCCAAGGGACGATTACTGCAAGCCTCATTCTCCTAATGATAATAGAGTTAAAAATGCCAACCTTAGAAATAAAATTAAGAACAAAATCATCATATGCTGGTTTCCTACACAAACCTCTGCATGACTTACCATCTTCCCCAATAACCTCAACATCAAAAAAAAACTAATTTAATATTTTATTTTAATTCTATTGTGGGTTTACTATTTCTTTAACGCTGGTTGAGTGAAAATAGGGAACTATCTAAACTGTCGCTACTTTGCCGCCATAGCAGAAGATAATCATCCATTACTTCTTGCATCAAGCTTTACCTTTCATTTATTCGGCAAGACTGGAGCAAAGCCAGAAGCCATTGCAAGTCAAAGCTGAAATATGCACTACTCATGGACAGGTTAGTAGATCTTACACCCAAATTAATTCCCTTTGCTATCACTGAATGCTCCTTCCGGATGAGCATTAAAGCCTGAATGGCTCCCTAAACTGGAATATGTGTGCACATTAAAATCACATCAGAACGAACACATACAAGTACACACACATTCACATGCTTTGAGGTTTGAGCGTAACTTGAACTAACCAAACAACTTTATATCTCATCAAATAGCTCCGATTTTAGGCATATATACAGCATTTTCGGATTTGTCTGCTTAAATAATGATAATGTTGCTCATACGACAGACGAAATCTCAGCACCTTTTCACCGTGATTGTGTGCCAACCTGTTGTCCCGAGTCTGTGTCTGTATCCAACTCGCTGCCATTTGCCTCCTCCCTTCCCCTCAAGGCCGGTTGGACCGAGGCCGACTTTGGCCAGCGACGCAACCGTCTCTCGAGTCTGATGCGTCGACGAGGCGGCGTGGCCGGCAGCAGCGGACGCACCCTCGGCTCGACGGGAACCGGATCCGGCCTGTCGCGCAGCTCCTCGTTGACCGGCCACTCGTTGCTGCGTCTGCGCGCACTCAGCTCGAGCGCCTCCAGTCTCTCCGGGCGACGAGCCGTCGAGACCGAGACCGAGGCCGAGGCCGAGGCGGAGGCGAGCACCGGTGCCGCCGGCGACTCCATCGGCGGGACTCGGGCCTGGGCCGACGAGCACGTGAGGCCGGCTTTCGTGTCGGCCCACGGCCTCCGGAGCGACTTTTCCGCCCATCCGGCCTCGACACCGTCGGGCCGGGACACGCTGGTCGACGGAGGGCCGGGCGCGACGAGGACGATGGCCCGGTTCTACCCGAACCCGCTCGACCGCCGACACGAGGGCTCGGTAAGTGGCGCGTCTTTGGCTGCCTCCAGCCGCCAAAATGGCACCGTTTGCCCACAATCCCAGACGGCGGCCAGACGAGGCAATCAGAGTCTTGATAGCACCGACAACCTCGACTCTTCCAGACGCCCTTCGGGAGGGGACTCGAACTTCACGCTGGAAAGGGTGCTCCCGATCGGCTGGCGACCATGAAAGGGATGTCGGACATGATTATGCTTTGAGCCAGCCGAGGTCGTGCAACATGATGAAGGACTGATAGAGGACTTTCGGTCAAAATGAATTGACCAGGTCGCGGGATGTTATTGCATTTTGCTTGGCTCTGCCTTCGAAAGAGTCCCACCTAATCGTCTTCTCCATCCATCAGTGGGACTCGAACTTGGCTTGTGGTAGTATGACGCTTAATCTCGATATATCGAAGAGGCAAATTTGTATTTGCTGTCACAATCAGCCATATTACTTACGTTCTGATTTAGTAGGTTTCGAGGCGATCAGTGCAATTATTTTCGAAGCCTACTCAATCGAAGTATGAGTAGTATAACCAAGTGTAATAGCAAGTAGAAATTAATATCATCTACACTTTTTTAACAAAATATTTGCTACGGAAGAGTCCTGGCCTTCATTGAAATTAACGTTTCTCCTGTAACCCGTGGGCACTGGTGGAAATATGTCATGTTTAGACGATATATTATTCAACGATAACTCAGGTTCGATTCCTGTGGAAGGGGCATAGAAGACCCAGGCATGGTGGCAACTGCATTCGAGTCTACCGTGTATGGGAATACGTTTGGGAAGGTGGGACTGAATTTAGTTTATACGTAGGTT